TACCGTCTTGCCTTTTGCGAGGAGTATTTATACCTCAAAAGCTCATAATTGCTGTCAGTGTAGTCAGTCGGTGATCATTAGATACAGGCAGTGTGCGCACTGATTCTGATGAGGAATGTCTTCTCTTCTTAACTGCTCGGGGGTCCTGAGCAATCAATGCTGCGTCATCGGGATGCCGACGGTACAATGAACTCCTCTCGGGGAGGATTCAATAAATGCTCTGTATTAGGAACATTTATTGTCTTTCATTTCCGAGTCTTACCGCATTGAATGCANTGAGCAATCAATGCTGCGTCATTGGGATGCCGACGGTACAATGAACTCCTCTCGGGGAGGATTCAATAAATGCTCTGTATTAGGAACATTTATTGTCTTTCATTTCCGAGTCTTACCGCATTGAATGCAGTCTTGTCAAGGGAATGGTGTAATTAATCGTTTGTTTTCCCAAGTCGCGTGTCAGCAACGGCATGCGGTTTTTCTGTCTTTGATGTGACATCATATGCCACGCGTCCATCCCCCATTGGCTGTGGCCCCTGCATTCCAGTGCATTCTGACACCAATTGTGTAAGACGAGGTCAGGATGAATAGCCTAGGCTAATGACCTGTACGTCAATAGCTTATTGTGGAACAGAGGAGGCGTCCAGGACGGGGGTACCTCTCGGCACCGAGGAAAGGCACATCTCGGAACTGAGGGAGGTATACCGACCGAGGCACCATATCAGACCGAGGCTACGTGTCGGTTGTAAAACGTATTGAATGTCATGATCCCATATGACGAGTACCTCGGGAGGGAGGGACCTTTGTGAGCCGATGGTGCTTGATCTTAGCAACAATGTTTTAGTAATACCGAGGACAGGTGTCTTCATCATGGAGTATTTCAGAAAAGTCCCATCACATTCCTTGGACGGAAAAATAACATCTCTCTCTCTTTAGTATCAAGTTGAGCGGTGTACTCTAGTCCTGTAGTGGTTATGTTTTAGATTATGGGAGTAAATTATTGAGTTATTTCTAACAGTTTGATGGGATTAGAGTCCTTGACAAATTTTTGTGGGATTTTTTGTTTTAGAATTTTTGAAGGGATTTTTCAGCACATAAAGTAGTCATGTCTTGACAGAGATTTCACATTTGGTACTCTCTCTTGTACTATTTTTCAATAGCAAAAAAAAAAAAAAAATACACACACACACAAATACACACATCTTTTTTTTACATTTTTTTTGTGAGAAATATATTGTAAAAAGAATAAAAAAAAATTTTGATATCTCCAAATCATTGTTATAATTATAAGTTATTTAGTTTCCACTCAAACCTTTTGGTCTTATTCATAAATATGATTACCCTGTCCTTCGAATGATTAATAATTTTTAATATGCTAATAAAAAATTAATACAACATTTAGTATTGTAATTTTGTATTCCTAAGGGCAATTGCTGTCTTTTTATACTTTATGAAGGATAATTTAGGTAATCAAAAGTTTTGATCGATATTTAGAAGTAGTATATATATATGTATGGGTTAATTGAGGCTGCGGTCTCCAAAGTATTGCTTTTGTCTCATTTTGGTCTCCAACCTTTTAATTGTATCAAGTTAGTCTCTCATGTATTACATATGCATTTATCTAGTCCATGTCGTTGACGCTGTCCACAAATTTGACGGTTTATAGTCATGTGCTATCCGCATGACCTAGGTGAGGGGTTTATATGACATTTACCCTCCATCCCTTTCCTTAGGCAAACCTTCCCGCCAATTGGCTGTGAGCCATTTACCGCCAACTTTCAAAAAAAACTGGCTATGAGCCATTGTCTGTTATAGAGCATAGGAAACATTCTCCTAAATTCGTGTGTTTCCTTCCCTCTACTTGCAAGGTTTGAACTATGGGAAGTTCTTGGCTGTGACTCGTTCATGAACTCCAAAACTAAGGACTCGTAGAGTTGATGACACTAGCCACTCGTTCCTTCTTTGCCTAACTCCTCCAATACACCCACCAAAAAAACCTCCCAAACGGCAAGTCACTCCACGCCCAAATCATCAAGATTGGCTCTTTGTCTTGCATGTACATCTCCAATAGACTCGTCAACTTCTACGCAAAGTCCCATCACTTAACTGAAGCCCACCTAGTATTCGAAGAAATCGAAGTTAAAGACATTCTCATGGAACGGCCTCATCAATGGCTACTCTCAGCTGGGGACTCCCAAATCTTCATCCTCAGTCATGAAACTGCTCAAGCTTATGAGGAAAGAGAATACTTCCCCGGTGCCCACTCTTTCGTCGAATTCTTTTTCTGCAACGTCGATTTTGATGGACCCGTTTTGTGGCCAGCAAGCTCATTAACTTGCCATCAAAACAGCTTGTTGTTCCGATTTATTTGTGAATAGTTCTTTGTTTAACACGTATTCCAAATGTGGCCTTGTTTGTGATGTGCATAAAGTGTTTGATAGAATGCCCAAGAGAAATTCAGTTTCTTGGGCTACGATGATATCTGGGTATGCTATGCATCGGTTTGCTGGTTATGCTTTGGAGGTTTTTAGGATGATGACGTGGGAGGAAAAGGAAGATGTGAATGAGTTTGTGATAACTAGTGTTCTTAGTGCTTTTATCTTGCCAGAATTTATTGATATTGGTAAGCAAATTCATTGTCTTGCTGTGAAAAATGGGTTCTTATCAGTTGGAAATGTTGGCGTTACCTTGTATGCAAAGTGTGGAAGCTTAGATAACGCGCTGCAAATGTTTGAGCTTTCGAGTGAGAAAAACTCTATTACGTGGTCTGCAATGATCACTGGGTATGCACAAAGTGGCGATGGTGAGAAGGCATTGAAAATGTTCTCGGATATGCATTTTTCTAGGATGAGGCCTAGTGAATTCACTCTTGTTGGGGTGCTCAATGCTTTTAGTGATGTTGGTGTTACTGTAGAAGGAAAGCAGTAGCATGACTATTTGATAAAGTTGGCTTTTGAATCTCAGATATATATATCATGCGGATGGCACATGACTATGAACCGTCGGCTTTGTGGATGGCGTCAACGACGGGGACTAGGTAAGTGCATATGTAATACATGAGGAACCAACTTGATGCAATTAGAAGGTTGGAAACCAAAATGAGAAAAAAGGAATACTTTGGGAACCACAGCCGCAATTAACCCTATATCTATATACATATATATAGATAGATATGCAATTAATTCATTAATGATCAAATTTGGCCAATTTATTTGATGAATATACATGGAGCATGAATACCAATAGTTACACGGTTAAAGTTCATCGTTTTAGAAACCATGATTAATAATTAATTCTTTTTTTTGTTCTCTAATTAGAATATTAATCTAAATTTATTGAAAGTGTAATGGATGGTGACTTTTAAGAAGAAAAAGAGAGGAGATGAAAGGCCATTATACCTGGTCAATAAATAGATAAACATTTATGATGAACAACATTTATAATATATTTATTCATGTTAGTTTAAATAATTAAGAATTGTAAATTAGGTTATGGTTCCTCCTTTGGTGTCTAAATTAAATTTAGTCTTACTGAATTTTTAATATAAAAAAAATATCCTTCATTTTTTTAGAAAAACTTATATGTGTCCCTGTGTTGGCACAAACAATAAGGGGTGGGATAGTTACTATTTTTTCATTTCCCATTTTACCCTCATTATTACATGATTTCAACCTAACAATCTGTCATAAATATACACTAAAATACAGATTGTTAGAATATGTATTTTAATTACTTTTCTGACAAATCCGTATTTTAGTGTATCTTTCTGACAATGTTATCACCTAATTAAAATACATTTATAATAGCATTATCATTATTTTTACAATTTTGAAAGGGCATTAGTTATGTTTATTTCTTCGAATTTTTAATAAGGACCTAATTCAAAAGAAAATTGGTGAGTGGGTTTATTTTTTGAATCCTATTGGGCCTAGGAACCGGCCTCCAAATCCCTCAATTAAGAAATGTTAGAGGGTAAAAGGAAAACAAAAAATTTTCCAAGATAAATACTTTTTAAAGTAATATAGATGTTCAATATATTATAATTGGAATGCTGATCAAATTATACGAATCTATTCCAATTATTGTGTATGTGCTATTTTGATTAATCCTCTTTGTCAATTTTATTACTATTTTTCTCATAGAGCTACACATCACTAAAATTACACACGACTCAGACGAACTTTCTCCTTTACTAGCTAGGTAAGTAGTAATGAAATTGTTCTTTTAAATTTTCACATTTTTGTAAAGCTAAATAAATTTTTTGTGTGATTGTCATTAATTGATTGGTGTTAAATGTTTAATGTTTGTGTTGGTTTAGTTGTGGATGCTATGCCATGAGTTGATTACTGTTAAATGTGTATTGCTATGTTTCTTCTATATATTAAATGTGTAATGTTTGTAATTTGATTTAGGTTGATTATTGTCTAATTTCTTATTTTACGATGAAACTTTATCAGAAATCACTTTATTTACATTCATTGTAAATCTAACAAACAAAATTAGCTCTCCAAATTCAACCCACAGTCCACTATTCTCAGGTTTTGATCTCAATCCACAGTTCACGATTCTCGGGCTTCTCTCTCAATCCACACTACACAATTCCCAGTTTTTTCTCTTCCCTATTCTCTCTCTCTCTCTCTCTCTCTCTCTCTCTCTCTCTCTCTCTCATATCTGATCCGTCTAGGAGGGTCCATCTCTTATCCTATACAAGTGAAAAGGCGATATACTATTGGCAGTCCCATGAACAGAAGCTAAAAAGCCTCCATCACTTTTTTATTACGTCTTTCAGTTGAATTGGTAGTTAGGATAGGGTTTAATTTGGATCGGATTGTGTTCAATTAGAATCAAAATTCGATTTAAACACTGTTCCAAATCTAATTTGAAAATTCGATAAAGTTTATTGGATTGTGAAATTCAACGTAGTGACTACATGTATTTAATAATTTAACGTATATAAAACTTTACTTCTTCATATAGATATAGATAATTATATGTAATTGCACTACTAATAAATGAGTTCAAAAGAATTTAGAAATTTTTGTAAAAGAGTTTTAAATAAGTTGAAAGTCAAATAGATATAACAAAGATAAATTAGATGAAACTATATAGGTGGGTATAATAGATTTTATCATAATAATTAAGGATAAAATAAGAAAAAATTTAAAAATTTTGGCAGATGCTGATATTTATAAATACAGTAATGCTAGACTGACCAACTTTTGGGACCAAATTTGGAGTTTAAATGACATGATAGTTGACTTGGACTTCTTTGATTTGTGTCATATCATTTGGGCACCAATAAATACTTCAAATAATAGAGAGAGAGAGAGAGCTCAAATTAGAGAAACTGTGAAAAGTAAGTATACACACATATAATATGAGAGAGAGAGAGAGAGAGCTCAAATTAGTATTTTAGTTTTGTTGCATAGTGCCTCCATTGCTAGTTATGCGTAGATTATATTTTGTAGATGATAGTTCAGTCCTTAGTAGCCAGATTGCCTTTGATTACATTTGGGATGTATGTAGACTGTTAAACTCCTCTATTCCAGCCGTCCCTCTCCACACGTCTCTCTCTCTCTCTCTCTCTCTCTCTCTCTCTCCAGATAGATAACTCTCACGAGATACGGTTTCCTTCCCAACCTTTTCCAACTTCGGAATTCGGTTATTCACACGTTCCTGCTGCCTCTTTCTTTGCTCTCATGATAACTCCTCTCTCTCTCTCTCATAATAATCTTATTCTCAGAGCTTCGGCCTAATCACGCCGTTGAAGAAGGTAAGGATTTTGGTTCAAAGATTTCATCTGGGCTTTTCTATTGCACTTTGAGTTTGATATATAATTTCAATTTTCTCATGCAGCCCTAGAATTCATTCTTTTCTTTTCTCATCTACATAGTACATCTATTGGTGCAGTGAGCAACTATGAATCCAAGCAAGATATACCCGGAAAAGGAGCATAATAACGAAGATGAAAATGAGCAACATATAATAGAGATACTGAGAAGACAACAACACACCGAGGAAAGGCAGCAGCATGACGATTCTCAGTCCGACTCCGACTCCGACGTCACATACTTTAGCTATAGGATGATAAGCTGTGGCATCTTTTGGAGTTTGCTTATGGTTTGCTTGAATTTGGTGATGCTTGCTCTCTTACTTCCTTTAGCGGCTAAAGACCTCAAACTCTGGAACGACGACCCCAAGGCACATGACAAAGCTATTGCAGTTGTAGAAGTTGTCATTCTCTATCTTTGGTTCCTCACAGGTATCGTGCTTACTTGTTTTTTGGGGAATTGTATCGGCAGCTGCGTTGACAAGCGCCGTAGACGAAAGAATGTTGAACATCCATGGATTTTTCGGGCCATTCCATCCGCCGTATATAGTAGTTGTTGTTTAATTCTGGTATGGTGGAAAGTAAATCCCATCTTCACAGCCGCTGGACACGGAAAGTAGCATTAGAATGAGAATGGGGTGGTATTGATTCAAACGAATAGAATATTTATTATTTAATTCTTGTATGTTGGGAAGCAATTACCCAGCATTAGAATGAGAGTAGGGGTGGTATTAAATAAAACTTATATATTGACGCCAAGACTATGTTAGGTTGGATCTTGCATTTATATATACATTCGTGTGATTATTTACAATTTTTTTTTTATTATATTATGAGTTTATTTCATCAATTTAACTGAATTAATCCGGTCAATTAAGTTTTCAAATCTGACAAATACGATATTATTATTTTTCAACCGTAAATATCTGTTTTTCTAAGTTTGATATTTCTACTCTTCTCATGATTATATTAGTATAAAAATTTGGGATTGATCTTGAAATCCAATAATCCAATGACATATAAAAACACATAATGTTTTGCCTATGGATAAAATGAATGAAGGTAAGACTTAGGTGTTTTTATAGTTTTACCCACAGCCAAAACTTGTGCATGGTTTGAGGGGGCCACATTTCCTCCAATATAGAACAATGTTGGAAAAATGATTTTTTTTGGGTGCAAAGTGGGAATTGTAACATCTTTTGGGGTACAAAGTGTGAAAACCTCTAGAGTTTTAGTGGTATAAAAGTTTAAGAATTGGATTATGAAATTCTTTTAGAATTTTAGTAGAAGACTAATTCTTATTTTGATAAAATTATTTTTGTGTTAAAGAATTTTGTGTGTAACGTGTCGGCACGTTTTAATCGTTACGTAATGTTATCATCCAATAAAAACATAACAATCCAGTAAGTAAATTCCACATATTTTAATAACTACCCTCTCCATTATTAAATAAAATTAAGTATTATCCTAGTATCCTATTTAATCTTATCTTTTGTCTTTCTTTATTGTATTAGACTGGATTACTTTATCTAATCTATCTATTTTTAATATGGCAACNAATATTAGATTATATTAATTTTAATTTAATCGGACCTAATATTTTGTTTATTAAAAAAAATTGATACCATATTAATTTCAAAAACATATACTAATAATATATTTATCGTATCTTTTTTATACAATAGACCTGTATTATGGAGGTATTTTAATACCACAAAGAGATGTAATAATTCAACTCAAACGTATTATTCTACACATTTATTATTGTAACCCCCAATTGATAAAATCAAGTTATCATCAATGTAAAAAACACCGATTGAGGATATTTTTGTTAATTCAACATTAATACGATAAAATAATTCTCTAACCAAACAACCAATTGGATTAAATAATTATTATCCAATGTTTATATTTTGTATTGTCAAATATTAAATAAAATTAAGTATTATCCTAGTATCCTATTTAATCTTATCTTTTGTCTTTCTTTATTGTATTAGACTGGATTACTTTATCTAATCTATCTATTTTTAATATGGCAACCAAATTAGCTCATAAAATATTAGAGATAACTCATGACTGAAGACACGATGTAATGTAAATAATTTTGAGAAAAATATTGATAATCAAGTTTATTTGAGACCATCAAATAAATTTATTATTTTATATTACAGACATAGATAAATAAAGATATAGATATAGAAGGTAAAAAGATATATGTAGGCTGCTTAAACTCCTCTATTCCAGCCGTCCCTCTCCACGCGTCTCTCTCTCCCGAGGTTTCTCTAGATAGGTAAATCTGAGATATCGTTTCCTTCCCAACCTTTTCCAACTTCGGAATTCTGTTCTTCACACCTTTCTGCTACCTCTTTTATTTGCTCTCTCTCTCTCTCTCTCTCTCTCTCTCACATAACTCTCTTTCTCAGAGCTTCGGCCTAATTACGCCATTGGAGAAGGAAAGGGTTTTGGTTCAATTTCACTACGAAGATTTCAATTGAGTTTTTCTATTGCAAATTAGGTTTCATACATAATTTCAGTATTCTCATGCAGGCCTAGAATAAGTGCATCTATGAATCCGAGCAAGATACACCCACAAAAGGAGTATCATAACAAAGATGAAAATGAGCTACATATAATAGAGATTAAGACTACTGAGAAGACACAACCCGACGAGAAAAAGCAGCAGCCGGACGATTCCCAGTCCGATGTCAGATACGAAAGCTATAGGGTGGGTGATAAGCTGTGGCATCTTTTGGAATTTATTTTAACTTTGCGCGAGTGTGGTGATACTTGCTCAGGTTCTGCCCCTACATAAAGGACCGGAACAATGATGACAATGCAGATGCAAATTTGCTTCAGTTATTGACTGTCTTCTGTTCCTCGTAGGTTCTGTATGTGCGAGTGCTTTGGGGTATTATATTCGCAGCTACATTGACAAGCGACGTAGACCAAAAAAGATTGAACCTCCATGGATTTTTCAGATCATTTTAATAACCATGCATCGTATTTGTTATTATGTTCTTGTCCTGGTCATTACCCTTGCCGAAAGGTATTATTTAAAGAAAAAAAGTTGCACTTAAAAATAATGTATTAACACAAAATACCAAATCAATATAGACTTACTATTTAAAAAAAATAATCAGTAAAATATAATCTAAAAACACGACTCTTAGATAATATCAATCTCATACAAAATTTATATAATCGAAGTAATAAATAATACAAATTTTTATTTTATAAAAAAAAAAAAATTGACCCACACTAGAGTATTTTATAATACAAACCTCTCTAAAATACCCTTATAATTTGAATGGAGAAAGGAGCTTCTTGTTGTCTATATTTGTTCGTTGTTGGGGCCAGAGAAAATCCCCAATTCTAAGGAGAATTTACAAAACTCCATTTCCATCGAGAATTGAATAGAGTCCCGAAAATATTTTTTGACACCTTAGGAAATTGGAATAAGCATGACTTAATTGCTCATTATCTAAATACTCAATACTCCCCAAACTCAAGTCATTATATCTCATTCTCTTTGTATTAAAAAACTAAAAGTCCATACCTGCATCAATTCAAAAATTAGAGTTACATAACACAAAAAAAAAAAAATCATTCACTCACTCGATGAAAGCACATCATAAAAAATACAATCCAAAAAACAAATATTCAAATACCAAAGAAAACAAATTAGTTATAATGATCAAATTAATTTTTTGCACTAAACACCAAACTATCCAAAGGAAAGTGAACACCGTGATCAGAATAATTACCACTAACAACTGAATTCCGAAGTTGTACATCGCAAATTAATGACAACCTTCATAAGCTGAAACTCTAATGATAATGAATGAAACAACACAACACAGATAAAAACCTTAATTTTCGGATGCAAGTTCATGTCCAATGGATAAATAATTTTCAACAGCAGAATCGAGTCCCAGTTGCATCTAAAGTGGAAAATAACCACATCAAGGCCACGGTTTCAAGATTTGATCTCAATTTGGGGAGAATGAACAAGAAACGGGAATTTCAATATTTATTTGTGTAGACGCAGAGTTGCTTATCAAATTACTACGTGAGAACTTCAACAATGAGAACTTCAACAATGACACTAAGCTATCGGATTAACAACTAGGGGGTTAAACAATAACATTGGGGATAATGATCAATTATTTCAATAAGGCACGAAAAGTTAGCATTGGAGAGGACCCCTAGAAGTGTTTTCAAACTGTATGTTAGAGCTCACCATCACATACAAATGAAAGTAATGCAGCTCTGCCACTTCCGAATCAAAGGTTTCGACACATATCAAGTAATTGCAGTAACTTTGGGGACAATCCAAGGAAAGGCTTCCCTTCGGTATATTTGTATAAAGTCTCTCATTTGAGAGACCTCAAATAGTTGGTAACGAGGACTTGTTGAGGTGACTTGGGTGGTTATACTTTTATCAAACTAAAGGTCCCACAAAGTGCAATGAATGGCTGATTAGCTACATCGAAAGTATGCTACATGCATGAAGAGATTGAAAAAATTGCAGTTAGCATCATAACCCAGCCAGATGAGCAAGAAGCCTGACCACAAAGCTGAACTTGCCCCACCTGGATCAGCTAGCCAGAACCATGAATGGAAGCTCCCTCCTGTGCAAGCACAGACAACAAAGGGAAAAGAAAATGCACACTCCCTACGCAGGCATTATCCTGTTCAGGTTCAAAGGGACTTTCTCAGCCTGACCTGCCTGCATCTTGGCCAAACAGCCAGTGATGAAGCAGATACAGACACCCCTGGTGCCTTTCTTACGTCAATGAACGAGCAAAACAATTATGAAGAACAGATTGTGAAAGTGATTTTTATTACAGAACACTAAGACATCCTTAAACAAAGAAGATCAGTTTGTCTCAATTTATAAATCAAACTGAAACATGAACTCACCAAAGGCTTGAAAGATAAATCCCTAAACTCCATTCTTGATTGGTCAAAATCGCATGCCAATGCTCCCAGAAGTTTCAAACCAGCACTCCCTGCAATAAATTCCTGTAAGATAACCCCACCATAATTGATGAAAGGGACTAGATATTCATAGGTTCATATAGCAAAATTATTTACAGTAAGACAATATTCTGGCCATTATGAATTCTAGTACAATCAACATTGAAAAACTATCATTTATATAATAGCAGATATAAATGACACATAATAATTCTCCAGAGACACCATGGCAATGGCATCACTTATCGATATTTGCTTGTATAATGGGTTAGTAAAACAGAACTCCTTGTTCAGCTTTCTATCCGGCAAGCCCATCTCTCTCTCTCTCTCACACACACACACATACACACTCCTTAATGTTCCGTTTGGTAAGAAGGATGAAAAGTAAAAATTATACACTTTCTATCCTTCAAGGATAAAAAGTAAAAATGATACACTTTCCTTTTTTGTGTTTGGTTGGATGGACGAAAAATAAAAAAGATCAAATTTTTTTTTAATTTTTTTTTGTCTAATATTAGGGGTGACAATCGAGTCGTGTCGTGTCAAATTCGTGTTCAGTCATATAATTATGAGCTTTTTATATTTCTTATTCACGTGTCAAGTCATTTTCAAGTTCGTGTCGAGTTATAATCAAGTTCGTGTCATAAAATTCGTATCAAGTTCAAGTCATGTCATCGTGTTGAGTCAAAAAATTTCACCCCTAGTTAAAATGAAAAAATATTTTTTTTAATTTAAAATTTTTATTTTTTTATTTTTTATTTTTTTTAAATAAATATATATATATATATATATATAAATACACATTTTATCATTGTATTTTTATATGAAATTAATGTAAACATAATATATAGACAAATAAGATACATCTCAACACAAATAATTAATTTTCCATCCACTTTCCTTCCGATTTTGGAGGGATTGATTTTGGTGAGTTGGAAAGAAAGTTAATCCATTCACTTTTCCATCCTTCCTATTTTCCTTCCTTACCAAACATGATGTTTTATTTATCTCTCCAACTTTTCATCCTTTCATTTTTCCATCATACCAAAAGGAGCATAAGTCTCTTTGGATTTATGTTCATCATAATTGTGCCATCATTTTATATTCCTAAAGTAGTGACTAATGAAGTAGAAGACAATAGCAGTAATTAGATGACACCAAATTCTACTGACCTTCAGATCTTCATAGAGTTTATGTAATTTGCTGGCAAGTAGATTTCTCCACCAACCTCACCATGTTGTTCCCCACTCACAGTCTTCTTAGCGGCCAAGAACTCTGCACTCATAGCTTCCATTCCATGCTTCACAGCTTCCTCAGCATTCCCATAACCATGCTCCTCGGCATACTTCCGTACATCTTCTGTTATCTTCATAGAACAAAACTTAGGCCCACACATAGAGCAGAAATGAGCCACTTTAGCGCCATCTGATGGCAAGGTTTCATCATGGAATGACATGGCAGTCATGGGATCCAATGACAAAGCAAACTGATCCATCCATCGAAACTCGAACCTTGCCTTGCTTAGTGCATCATCCCAGGCTTGAGCATGTGGGTGACTCTTTGCAAGATCAGCCGCATGAGCAGCTATCTTATATGCTATAACTCCAGCTTTCACATCATCACGATTAGGTAAACCAAGGTGTTCTTTAGGTGTCACATAACAGAGGAGTGCAGTGCCTAGAGCCCCAATATTGGCAGCGCCAATGGCTGAGGTGATATGATCATATCCGGGAGCAATGTCAGTAGTCAAAGGTCCAAGAGTGTAAAAGGGTGCTTCACTACACCACTCTAGTTGTTTTTGCATGTTCTCAGGAATTTTGTGCATCGGAATATGTCCAGGCCCTTCATTCATAACCTAAAAAATGCACATGGCCAGTTTAAGTCCAAGTTTTGTCAAGGAAAACAACAGAACAAGGTTGCAACGGGTTAACAATGATGCATAGATTCCCCATGGTACTCAATTTCTGGATTTCCATTAAAAAAAAAAGGCGATGTGCAAAAATTTTGGAATTGACCCCCAATAAAGAAACTGCCTCATTATAAATTACTGTCCACCAAACAACCAATCCCAGTCATCAATTTAAACACACAGATATATGATATCCATAAAAAGCGACCACTATAACACAAACGAGTGCAATACTATATTTTTTTTGGATAAGAAGTGCAACATGATAGTTAAAGCCTGCCTAAATTGCATGATATACTTTCAAACGGTTGGAGCGAACACTTCAGAGAACATGGTTTGGACCCTGACGAAACAAGTAAAATACAGATTTTCTAGAGATAAGCTGGACGATATTTCATTTTCTTATAAAAGTCAAACTAATTTCAACAGTAACTACCACATTTTTGGCGAAGTCATACCCCCAATTTCACAGGACAAGTTTAAAGAGATAATTTTGCTGAACATGCTCAAAGAAATATTTGAATTAAGTTGAACAGAGATAAGATAACAAAACAAATACCCTTTTTATACAACGGAAGGTATAGAAAGGGTATAGCAAAAGGTCATTACCTGCACATCCTTTTCCCAAGCTCTACGTGTCAATTCTCCTTGAGTTAATAGCTCTGCAAACTGAGCAGTGTCATTGGCATCATAAATTGACCCAGGTCTCAGTCCATCACCTATTGACAATGATATATCATATTGATTACATATGTCTAATATGTCATCCCAGTGATCATAAGCAAAGTTCTCCTTGTGATAAGCTAAGCACCACTTTGCATGAATTGATCCCCCGCGAGAAACAATTCCAGTCATTCGTTTTGCTGTTAATGGGATATATCGAAGCAGGACGCCAGCATGGATTGTGAAATAATCTACACCCTGCTCCGCTTGCTCAATCAAGGTGTCTCTGAAAACTTCCCAGTTCAGATTCTCTGCGATTCCATTCACTTTTTCAAGTGCTTGATAAATTGGGACAGTCCCCACTGGTACAGCAGAGTTACGTAGGATCCATTCACGGGTTTCATGGATGTGGCGGCCTGTGGAGAGATCCATAACAGTGTCAGCACCCCACATTGTTGCCCATTGAAGCTTGTGAACTTCTTCCTCAATGGAGCTCACAACAGCAGAATTCCCAATATTTGCATTCACTTTCACCAAGAAGTTTCTCCCGACTACCATTGGCTCCAACTCCAAGTGCCTCTTGTTGGAAGGGATGATAGCACGACCACGGGCAACCTCTGCTCTCACAAACTCAGGGTCAAGCTTCTCACGAGCTGCGCAGAACACCATTTCCTCTGTTATAATTCCCTGCTTAGCATAGAACATCTGAGTGTATCTTGGTCCGCCTAACTTCTCTCGCCTATCAACCCAGTCTTTGCGCAGTTTAGGAAGTCCTGTTCAGGGAAACCATTTGTTTGAAATTCCACGAGTCAAACATTAACAAAAATGCAACACTAAGCTTAAGAACAATACATAAAGAAAGCTGTTTGAAATTCCATGAGTCAAACATTAACAAAAATGCAACACTAAGCTTAAGAACAATAGAAAGCAAAGAAATACGATACAATTATCACCGGTGAGGAAATTTATCATATAACTGAAGTTTTCAACGGAAATGTATAAACAAAACCAAAAAATCGGATATTTTCAGCAGAAAAGTTATTGTATGACAAAACATAAACTTTTTAGCCACCAAGTTGACGGAATATGAGTGACCATGACCGTTATAGGGTTCGGAATCCTTTTAACCGTATGAGAGAAATTATAGTAAAGGAAGTAAATGTAGATTCACATAGCATAGTAGAAAGAAGTATGGTATTATCAAATACTTTAATATCAACTGAGGCAAAAATATTACCATAATCTATTAAACGAAAGTAGTACATTTTTTGAGAAGTAAATGTGTACACCAAGTTATAGAAGCTTCATACTACAAACATGCAGGAAAAAATAAGTCATCGCCAAAAATAACAACCAAAATATTTGTTGCCAAAAGGAAAGAGATTGAAGAGATCAGAGATGAGAAATTATGCAACACAAAAGCTTGATGTTCATACCGCTGCGTGGGCTAACGTTCTGGGGACCACTGGTGTCATAGGTGTCAAAATGGGGTTCATCCCCAGATAGGTGAACCCTTCGAAATGGAACTTTGAGCACATGGCCAGATTCATCATGAATAACATCCCTGTAGAGCAGATCCATTCATCAAACTTTTTTCAACAGATGCAAATGAGAGCATGCCGATGTAAAACATCAGTAAGCTACATACCCCAGACCAAGAATACAAGAACCAAAGATTAACCTGGATTCTTTTGTGCTTTTTGGAAAACATTGTTCAAAGGAAGGAAGGGGAAGGAAGTCTGGGGCAGCAGGATCTACTGTGTGCTTCCTTTGGTTGGTTTTCTCTGAATTTGTTGCTGGGGGATCAAAGGTTAATGTAGCTTTACAGGCTGAAATGGAAGTGGGACATATTTCCTTCTTCCGCATGACAGACCCATGTCCAACCACATCAAACCCAGGCAGGAAAGAAGTATGTGCAAACTTTGAGGGAGCAAAATGGTTGTCGTTCTTGCACACAACTGATGTCAGAGTAGTATTGATTGATGCCATATCTGGATTGAGCTAACAAACAATGACATAGTCAGAAGGTTTCGATCAACAACAGGAGATAACCTACATACGTGGCATTTACTACTACTTGGCATCTGAAGGCAGGTTAGCTTCAGTCAAAAATGACTTATGCTCTTCACAAGGTTAAAAGGACAAAAGACCTCATAGAGCAGTCAATCTTTGACCTGAAATCAACTACAACTGTGGAATGACCATTGCAACTACTTGTTACACTGATATCTAATATAAAACACATATCTTTAATGTTTCCTTGTTTTTTGGCAAGCTTTATACAATTATGGATCTTAAACAAAAGCTTTAAATATGAAAAGCAAATCGAACTACAAAGTTTCAGTGCTCTAAAATGACATTTGTCATTGATTCCACGGCGCCATCTGCTTCAAACGCATACCATTATTTATAAAGGGAACTCATTATGAGCAGTCATTTCGTGCTTAGGGTACACTTTGGGGTGGCTGTACTGAATAGAATTTTAAGTCCAAAGACTAGAAAAATGCGAAGTCGAATGCATTAGCCAAGTTCCCATATAATTGAGGATCAACATAGTCGGATCATGATGGTTGAAACTAAAAGGTCAGATGGTCGGCCTTACATTTAGGTCTCAAAAGGAAAACGGTGGGGTCTTTTGTAACAGTAACCATGTCCTAGTATAATGACAGCGGCAGAAAACTCATTATGTTTTCAATACATTCAATCACCGAACAAACCTTCAAGCCACAACCAATTTACATCAATTTAAAAGAACATAAACTACTACCTTCTATCAAACAGACACAGAATTTATGCATCACAAATCCTAACATAAACGCAGTGGCAATGTTTCTCTCACATAATGAAACTTTCTGACACAACACATTCTCCACCATAAAATAAATAGGATCCAATGTACATCTAACGCTCAGAAATGTGCCACGTCATTTGTTATGAGAAATTTGGTAGACAAATTTGACAAGAGTAGCACAGTACCCAATTTAATCCGAATCATAATAGAGCTACAAACTCAAATGTTACATTAAATCGTATGAAGCTGCAATTAAATCGTAGCTAACTATAGAGTTGAAGACCTCAAATCATTCTACAAATTAAGAAAGTCAAACAAGAACAAATCCAAAACTATCACATCAAACACCGAAAAAATTCCTTATACAAAACAGACCTCAAAGATCAAAAATCAAAATCAACAGTTAAAGGGTGCATATAAAAGATGATACTGAGAAATATCAAAAAAAAAAAAATATATATATATATATATATATATATATATTAGCAACAAAAACCTATGAAATATGTATTGCAAGATGTACACATTATACATGCACACACTCACAAAGATATGAATATAGTCGTAACTTATTCTTAGGTTTTGCAAGGGAGTGTGTGTGTGTGTGTGTGTGAGAGAGAGAGAGAGAGAGAGTGGGGAAAACAAACCTCAGATCGGATATTATCTCTTCACACACTCGCAATCGCAGAAACAAAAAAGGTACTGAAATTATTGTGTGGCTCGCTAGCTCTAAGGGTGTGTTTGGATAATGGATTTGGATAGGCTAGGATTTCTTTTTTATATCCTAACCTATTCAACCCAAACACAATCAGCCACTTAAATTAGATGGGTTAGAGATTATATCCAGTCCAAACCATTGTTTAGAAAACAAAAGTGCTATTTCTTGGGCCTTATGGATTAGATCAATTCTTTTGCAAAAGTTTACCATTCTACCTATGCACCCCTATCTCTCTCTCTCTTTTTAGTAAAACCTCCACAATGCGAGGATAAATATTATTAATTCCAAATCAAATATTACACCTAATCGAGGGACATAAAACCTTACCTGTAAATACGAATCTAAGTATATCATGATCATAAAGTAATGAAATGGAAAATGAAATTCATGAAATGGAAAAGGAAATTCATAAGCTTTCCACCCATGAAGTTTTGTTGTAGGTGGGGCCTCTTGTTTCCATATAGCTGCTGCCACTTCATCAATTTCACTCCAAATTCTAATAGAAATAGAATCCCAAGCCGAACGCAAAGGAAAAATGCCTAAGCTTGTTAAAGTCCAAGAGGCTCTACATGGCATCAATGATAAGGAAACTTCGTATGTGGTACCAGTTAATAACTCAGAGATCATTGAAAAATAGGTTGACCTTATATCCACCCTTAATATTAAAGAACCACTGCCCAACCAATAGTAGAGACCCACACACAAAAAGCCAATTCATTTTTAGATGTTGAAAAATTCACTTACACAATTCATCAAACATATTATGCTCAACATTCTAAATGTACACACAGATGCATAAAAGAAATTCATACTTCATAATTATTAAATCACAATTCATAATTCCAAATTCACCATTCATAATTCATAATTCAATTCATATTTTATAATTTAATTCATAATACATAATTCAGTTCACAGTTCATACTTCAATTCTCAAAAACAAAGTGAAACAAAAGCACAGTATTGTTGGCTCTGAGTAGCTTGAATAATTGTAAGAAAATAATCAACACAAAATGGAATCACAAAAATCATCAAAATGAAAAAAATATGAGTAGCAATCAACCAAGCACTTGAAGAATGTACCAGAAAAACATAGCGGAGAAGATGAAAAAATGTAAAAGAATCATACTCAGCTAGCAGTTAAATGCACTTGTTAATCAAACATAACTAACAACCTAGTATTAATAAAATGAATTCAAATTACAGACACACACAATTGGGCTAAGAATACCCTTCGACCTTGACCGTATGTGAATGAAGAAGAAGATTAAGCTTGGGGTAAGATTTAAAAATTGACCTCGTAACTCTCCAATATTCGGCATAGAATAAGGAAACCAATTCCTCACAAAGTGAACAAAGTCTCATTCTCCACTGTTTGGAATCCAATTCACTTATTTACCAACAAAAAAAGAATCAAATTTACCAAGAAAATTAAAACAAACTTCAATTTTTCGCATGTACATTCCACGCAATTAACTACAATGTATGTATGTAATTAAACTAAAACCCACAACAATTTGGCCAATTAATGAAATTTATTAAAACCAAGTAAGATTGACAAACAGAGAGAGTCCAGATCAACATCCAAACATCCCCTACACTCCAAAGCATCTCCAAGAGTCAATTTTTATAGCTTCGGAACTCGCCAAAGACAAACGAACGCAGAAGGTCAACAAACACGATGAGACGATGCAGATCTGGGTGTACCTCATCAACTAGATCTGTTCGTGGTTCGGTCCACAGAGAGAGGTAGAGAGAAGCTTACCTCCAGTCAGTCGTTCGTCGCCTGTGATGCGCTTCAATCAGCCAGCCCAGCTTCGTCTGCCTTTGACGATTGCTGGAGGAAAGTTAAACGGTTACCGCAGAGGAGCCACACCCTACTATATAGGGATATGGGATGAAGAAGATCTGGAGGTAAAAAAAAGGTGCTGAAATTATTATGTGGCTCGCTAGCTCTAAGTGTAACTAGGCGTTCACGGAAGCTTCTGAATTTCAGTCGAATGACTACGTAACGACAACGACAATAGATCTGTGAATGGCGCCTGACTACAGTATTACAATTCATATCGCGTGACTCAACTGTGTGATTAGCAATTTTTCACTTGAAATAACCCTATATATTAAATAATAATTTTATTTAATTATATAATTTAAAATAAAAAAAAATACGAAAGTTGACTTTAAAAGAGAAGAGAGAAATAGATTTTTATAAGCTTGCTTATTATTATTCTAGAATAATAGGATGTCGACTTAATTCAAATTTTGTAAATGGTCATACACATTGGGCTCGTTTAATAGACGTATTTTTAGGGAATTAAATATTAAATTTTACTATTTTTTATTTAATAGGGCCTAATATTTTGTTTGATAAATAAATTTGATACCGTATTAATTTCAAAAACGTATATATTTTTTATATGTTAAACTTGTATTGTAGAGATATTTTAATACCACCAAAAGATATGGTATCATAATCCAACTCAAACGTATTATTTTACGTATTTATCATTATAACTCTCAACTAATAAAATCAAACTGTCATCAATGTAATAAACACTGATTGAGGATATTTTTATTAATTCAACATTATTACGATAAAATAATTCTTTAACTAAACAACCGATTGAATTAAATAATTAATATTCAACGTTTATGTTGTGTATTACCAAACACTAGATAAAATTACGTATTATTTTAATACTCTATTTAGTCTTTTTTTTGTCATTTTATATTGTATTAGACCGAATTATTTTATCAAATTCATCTATTTCTAATACGACAACCAAACGAGCCTATTCTGAATTTACAATGCCTAAAAACATCAAATTGGAATAGTGCTTTTCTAAAAAGAGAAAGCAATTGAATAAAAGAGGATGATTAATTCACTCTGCCCCAGCTGTCATCACATGGCTATGTAGTCGGAGAAGAATGGAAATACACATCCACATGATTTAGCGATAGGAACCTGAATGTTTGTTCTTTCTCATTAGGTAATGGTAGGCCTAAGTGCACTTAATAGTTAATAGATTCAAATGAATCCGACATTTTTGACAAAAACTTGTGGAAGAGTTTCATTTGGCCTTCTAAATGGATTGGATTTTAATTTTAATTTTGATTAGTTTAATATAAGTTAACATTTTTTACCACTATTTAAGTCATTCATGCCAAGGACTAGTGTACTCATGAAGAATTTATCACTCATAGTTTTGATCTCAAAGCATTGTCAATATTCAAGCTTAAGACATCTGAATTTACAGTTCGTCTCGGTCATTATTAGGGTTGTTAATCAAACTAAGCTACTCGAACTTGACTTTAGTTTGGCTCAGATTCGGCTTATTCAGACTCGGTTTGTTTTCTAAACGAGTTCGAACTTGAACAAGTTTTTAAGTTTGCTTAGAAAATAAGTCCTACAAGTTCGGCTCAAATTTGACAAATTCGACTCAAACTCGACAAGTTCGGCTTGTTTATGTACAAATACTCGGGTTCGGCTCG